AAACCCCAAAAAAGGGTATTAATTACAATACCTTCACAATAAATTTGGTTAATAATTTGTAATTAGTAGGTTGACTTTTTTACTTTTAAGTAAAAAATAAAATATGTATATTTTTAGTATAACATAATTTAAAATGGATTAGTTATATTAAAAACCTTTATAACATAATACACAAATTAGTGAAACACACAAAACATAAAAAATGTTATTAAAGATTGTCTATATAGCACCTCCCTCGTTATGACTTTGGGAGAACATTGCTAGCATAACCTGCATAAACACAACTACATTTTTACAGATTCAGAGGTCTAATTGGCGAACTGCACCGTAATAAACAGCCATATTTCCAACTGGCCCAATGTAACATGGAGTACTATACATTTATGAAGGTCATCAGAATGGATTTTCTTTAATACACACAGTATACAAGAGTGTGAATAATTTGTTAGAGGCATGAGAATTAATGGCTACCACATGGAAATACATATTACCCAAAAAAACTTTTTATGAGGAACTACATCAAGGACTAAATCATTAGGTATAGAGGTGAGGGATGGTATTTTACTTCAAAGGAAGCTAATTCTCATTGTGCAGCATTAGGAAGGCTTGGTATTAATTTTATTATCATCTCTATATCAAAGGATCCACTGATTATTCACAAGAATGTGAGTATGGTGACTCGGAAGAATGACAAAATGAGGCCATAATTGATTCTTTGTTTCGTTCTTTTTATTGGAACATTTTTGAAAATGTTCTAATAAAGGACAAAACTTAGAATCAATTATAGTATGTCCTCATGGTTTTTATTCTTCGGAGTCACCATACTTGTTATCTCTATATTGTCTGAGGTGCCATCAAGATTAGATGCATTTCAAGCATTACCTGCCCAAATTGCAATGTGTATGCTTTTCCATATACTGTACTCACATAGAGCTACTTACTTGGCTTGTAGTGAACTAACTGTTCAAGCAAATTATGTATTTCTGATGTACCGTGTCTTATTTAAAAGCAAACACCTATTCTATTATACCAATATTTAAGCTCTGTCATTACCCAAATAGCCAAATCCTAATAAGGGCAAATAGAAAAATTTATTAGATTATCTCTCCCGCCCGCATCAAATTTTGAAAATATTGATGGGGGAATAATTCTATTTTTTTTACTAATTAATTATTTTTATTTATTTATTTTTTTGTCGCATCATTTATTTTAATTGCATATAAACAACTTGGCAAAAAACAAATGCTCACAAAATATAAAGGAATTGGCTCCGAATTTGGCAGGCTCTTCCAATTGATTACTGTAAATCAGACATTGGGATTGCAGTAAAGTTGAAAATGCAAAGCCCATTCTTTAAACTTGTTTACTGTCACTAAAAATAAACAGGTCGCTGACTGCGGTTAAAAATAGTCAACACTGCGGTCTGTCACCAAAGAGATCCGCCTAGTGGGCTGATCGGACCTTTAATTCACAGCGTGTAGACTTGTTTTGGCTAATCAAATTTCTATTTGACTAATTATTTTCGTATCCAAATTAGCCAAATTGCTAAATATCTTTTTTGTCCAGCTTAAACCCTGTATGCTATTTAAAAAATTTACATTAAAAAAACTTACAACAAAAGATATGAAATTAGATGGATGAGCTAATGCAGGTTACACTTGTACTAGCAATATGCAAGCACAAGAGTATTATTATGTAATCCTGAAGTCAGTTGAATTTGCCTGGTCACTGCAATTTGTGTGTTGTCAGGCTATCCCTTACTGTTTCCATGGGCCTATATCTACTGGAAAGAAATAATCGATCAAAAATCGCTTTTTCGAAAAATCACTTTTATTCTCGCAGTAGAAACGGGACCAGTTTGAAAAAAGCGATTAAAAAAAATTGATTAAAAACACGCAATAGATAGCATGTTTGAACGGCAAATAACCGATTTTGGCTGTGCACCTTTTAGCTGCAACATAAAAAAGGTGGTTATCAGGTGAAATGTGACCAATCACTGCAAAGACTAGATCGTATTACGCACGAACTTTCCAAAAAATTTTTCCTCTTGTTCATGTCCTAGGCCTACAAGCTGAAAACGTCGACAAACATGTGGAGCGACGAATTTGTTTTGTAATTATTTTGTGGGGGGATATTGGGCCTTGGCCTCTCTGCTCTTTTGGGCCTCGTTTGGTCCCTCGTTCATTGTGCCGATGAGTACAGCAGAAAACATTTGCCTTATCGCCCCACACAGTATCTTACTCCTCGTCATCATGACAGGAATGAGAAACATACAATTCTATACAGTTAGGGAAACAATGTGTTGTATAAAGAAAATGTTGACGTAATTTCCGTCACAAAAACTGATTTTCAAAAAATAAAAAATGCAGTTGCAACGCGAACAGGCTGTCTGGTACTCATTTAAAAAGTGTTTTAAAAAAATCGATTATTTTATGTTTATCAGTAGAAACACACCCCATGTCCAACAGACAATGGTAATGCAAATCTTTGCTCTCCCCACATTTTTACATTATTTTCTTATATAAATAAGCCATAGAGTTGAAATTAATTTTTTTATTTTGCACATGGGAAAAGGTTTTGGATTCAACCCCTTTAGAAAAAGTATGATTACTTATGGCTGCCTCCAGCCCAATATGCACAAAAAGGCTTTCTTGAAATTCTCCTCAGAAAATTACAGATACAGTATTTTTTACCCTGGATAATCCAGATGGTAAAGGAATTATGTAATCATTGGAACAGTTTTGGTAGATGATGGGAATTAAACATAAAGCACACATTTTTTTCTCACGACCAAAAACAACTCTCATAAAGAGACTAATACCCGATTCACACGTACAAAAATCTTACAAAATGTAACAAAATGTAACCAAAAGTAACATTTTACGGCACGTGTGAAAGTACCTCCGTGTAATATCCTTGTAAAATCTCGGAACGTCTCGGTAATCTTTACCAGCCTCGCTGAGGCTGGTAAAGCTTCCGAGATGTAACATGGATGGATCTGCGCATGCGCAGAGATTTCAACACAACAACAATCTACTGTTTCACGGGGTTCTTTGAATTTTTTTCCTTCTGCATACGATTCTGATCCACTAGAAATAGATAGGCCTAGTTTTTCTCAATGATGAATGAATTACCCTTGTTATTGATGTTAATTAGTAATGGTAGAAGAAGAAGATATACGTAAAATGAACGTCGGGATGGTGTTAGTACTATTACTAGTATTACAAGAGTTGACAGAAACGTTGGAAGCTATGCCTAGTTTAGTAGTAGTAGTACAGCAGTTGTTAAGGGTATTGATTGCTTCGAATTTTTCCTGTGATGGTGAGTTCAACAGTCTATCTGTGACAGGGGTTCTCAACTAGGCCTAGGCTAGACCTATATCACAGTAGGGGAAAAAATGGTTCATTGAATAAACACTGAATACATTTTACACAACCTTGGCATTACCTTACAGAAGCGTGTGAATGCTTTTTATCTCGGTAGGAATAACTATGGAGATCGCTCGGTTACAATTTGTTACTTTTTGTTAAATTTAACTTCACGTGTGAATCGGGTATAAGTTTATAAACCATCGTCCATCTTGTAATTGGCAAGTTACTTGCTGTTGGATGTGAGTGAAATAAAAAGTAAATATTTTTAGTATTTAATTTATTTCACTTATGAACCGGATAAAGTTGGCTATTTAAAATAGAACAAATACCAAGCAACAAATGTTTTCTTCAATATTGTAAATCTTTTTCAAACAGAAACATTTTAATTTGTACAAATCTAATATAAACATTTCATTACATTATTTTATCATTACAGGTTAAAACTAAATAATGTATTAATTTTGATGTCTAATAAATCATTGTACGTCATTAATTTAAATTGATATGAGGTCTGAAGTATTCATAGTTAATAATGCCTTAGGTGTTAAATACTTGCTAAATGTGGCTTTTCAATCATGCAAGAATGTATTTCACATATTATCAACCATCAAATAAATTGATGTTGTTTTACACTTGGACATATGCCTCTAATGCAATTATCTACCTGCTAGCCTGTGAAGGAATTTCTTCCATGAGTTAAATTATCAGGTACTGTAGTTGGATGAATAGAGATAGTTTTATCTTACTTGAATCTTCGGGCTCTGAAATAAGGCGTTAGCCGTTTGAACGCCCACCATTTGTACTTGTTTCCTGTTAAAATTGGTAGCTAAATTTGTTTTGCATTGCCTCATCTTTGTTGAGAAGATCTTTAAATGAGTTTAGGCTTTCTGCTTGTACTGTTTGGTTGTTAAGATTGTTCCATAAGTTTATAACCCTCACACAGAAAGAGTGACTTCTAACATTAAGACGAGCTCGAGGCTTTCGTAATTTAAACTTATGTCCCCTTGTTCTATCTAAATCCATAATATTGAAAAGGGTTCTAACTTGAATATCATCAATGCCATTTACTATTTTGTACACTTGGAGAATATCTGCTCTCTTTCTTCTGATTATAATTATCTTGACAATTGAAAGCATCAAACCCCTCATATTGAAACTACTGTGTAAGTGTTATTGTGACCAAAGCTAAAGTTGTGATGGTATTGCAGAGGGTTGCTGTCAGATATTTTGCTAAAATAAAAATTAATAATAATATTTGCTAGCTGTGCAGGGAGTCGGTATCTGTATCCATAGTTGGAAAATTACTGCTTTAGCTTATCACACTCACCAAGGCATTCATGGAGTGGTCAGCTTTTATTTATTTTATTAATTCTTTTTTATGTCTGTGTGTCGCGTCTCTACATGTGTATAGATATTCTTGAGTAACCATTATAAAAAAAAACTGACCTGAGACTTGGCATGCACTGCAGCTATTTGCTGATGTGTTAAAAAAAACTATAAAATTAATCATACCTTCATTAAACAGATTTCCATGCTTGTTTTTGGCAAACACATTTATGTTGTCAGGCCTTTAACTTGGGAGACGTTAACAGTGTTAACTTTGTTTTGGTGTTTTTCATATCTTTTCAGTCAACAGAATGGGTTCGTATCAAAGTTCACGAGATGACACCTCGGATGACGGAAGTTGGACAGAACAGAGAAGAAGCCCTCCACCTCAAAGCACAGCACAATAAATTAGTAGAACAAATAGCAGTAAGTAAACAGTTTTGTTAACCTGTATCACCTAATATTAACATTTACTAGGAGCTTTAAATCTCCTCATGACTGTGGATTTTGCTTGTGTCCTTAGGAAAGGACACTTAATTTGTTTCATAGCATACAGCAGTCTAAACCACTTTGTTTCATAGCATACAGCAGTCTAATATCCAAAATGTAATCTGAAGGTCTTGGGTTCAAATCCGTATGGGGACAATACATTTTACTCACGTATATTATTGATTATTTATCACCAGTAGAGGTTTTTCTCTTTACCAATGGCACTTTCATGTACCTGGTAGCATATTGTAGCATTGAATGTGTTAGTCTGTGTGCAATTCAGCCTTATTAGGTATGGTATAGTCCTCATGGCATAGATAAGGTTGCACTTGGTGCCACTTTCATCCATTTTGTGTCTAGACCCAATGACTGGAGGTAATCACATCATCAACATCTTGCATCCCTTGGCAAAGTGTGTGGTATAAATTTCTGTATTATTAGAATATAATTGGTTATGGGTATGTGGGTATGACTAGTTTTTGTGTAGTGCTGTTACCTTAACACTCTGACGCCAGGGGTTTGAAAAATAGTATCAGCCAGCGCCAGACTTTTTAGCAAATTTTAACACTTTTCCGAAGCTCGTTGAGAGTGCATATGTGATCAGACATGTAGTGAATACTACAAGAACTACAACAAACTTTAGCTTTACAATGGTACCAAACACTTTATTCTAATCACAATCTGACCCGTAGCAGTAAAATGAAAATGACTCACTTTTGGAGATTTACGCAATTTCGCACAACGAAGCTGAGATAATCGCGATTGTAAACAAACAAATAGTGAATTACTTACGGTCAATACTGAATATAGTGTTCAAATTCTTAGTACATGTCAGTAATTACCCCATCTATTGGATTCCATAAAAAAAACCTGAAACAGAGATCTCTGTGTTTGGCGGTCAAGCGTTGCGTTGCCAAACAACGAGATCTCCGTGTTTGGCGGGCAGAGTGTTAAGAGTTGATTGAGTTGTTTCTTAATGAAAACAAAACTCTCAGTCCTGAGCAAATTGAATAACATTCTATATTTTTGAGCGAAAAATTTACTTCTGAGGGTACATAGGGAATACCCCTAAAAATTGGGGAAATGTACAACAGTTTAGAAACTTTGAACCTCGGATTTCATTGTATTGCGTATGTTTTTGAAAAAAATAAATGATAAGCAGATTAAATTAAATGAACAATTACATAACACCTTGGTATATTTTCCAGAATTTAAATGAGAAAGAAATTCAGATAATAAAGCAAGGAGGCTGTTCTTGTCAATTCAGATAGAATATTTCTTTGTTTTCAATTAGGAAACTTTGCTACACTTTTTGAGACTCATGAGGGCAGTATAGTGTGTCTTGACTCAGAGCCATATATATAAAGAGTTGCGACATTCCGCTCCTTGGTTTACGAAAGTCACGTGGTACACACCGTCCATTTTGTTTCATAATCTTCCCGGTGAACACATGCAAAGTATATGTTACGTACATTGCATATTAATTTCACACACTTAATTGGGTTTACAACTATATTTTATAATTAACATCACTTTGTATGGACAGCGTATAAGAATTCATATATAATCGAATATTTTCACGCGTGCGTGCTAGCGTAAATTCCGTGCTCACGTAAATGATTTTAAATTAAAATTAGTATTGTTTTCAATTATCGTTAATTCGTCAAATTTTAATCAATGAAGACCCGACTTATTTTATTCAATAGTAATCATTTCTTTGGTTTTAATTGTTTTTAATAGAGATGTGTATAAGAGACAGCAAAGACACTCAAAATATTATCTACAAAGACGTCCTTTAGAAAAATAATAATC